GCACGAAAACATGTAAGTAATATTCGATGACTATTTCCCAATAATGAGAGGTTTCGTCAAACTACACAAGATCACGTTTTACCAATAGCATTTTCAACTAAGAAAAATGTTATCCCCATCAACGTGCACACAATTGTTTATGTCAGCTGCTCTGTTTAATAAAACAATTTTATGAGGTTAACTCATATGGTTATGAGGTTGATATTTCTGTATGTGGATTACAACGTTAATGCACAGGAACAAGTTAAATACAACCTGCATAATTAGAAAAATCATCGCATGTATAATATAGTACTTTTTCGAATGGAAGCGCTTAAAAGTATAAATACGAAGCATGTTTCTGTACCCATGGTTTGTAAATTATTTTATTATTTGTTTTGACCGAAGGTGCATACAATATAAAAGATGATGTGATTGTATTGGAGATGCATTTCTAATAAATTAAAATGCAAAGTAAGTCACTTTATAATCTTTGATTGGAGAAATTAATATTGCGATGCGATGAAATGTGATGTTAGAATTTATAGAGTTTGAATATAAGAATTAATTTAGATGAAATACTAAGACATTTCTTATTGTTTCACCGCGACAGAATGGCGTCAGGGTATTGGCCAGGAATATATGCCAGAAACAAGTGGCTGTCAAAAATATGCTAAAAGGAAAAATGCAATATACTGTGAATAGGATAGGGAAGCTTAATTCCCATATATTGAAAGAAAAGACAGTTTTCTGAAATTAAGTTAAGTTTCCTAGAAATTATCACGATTAAATGAGGTGTATTATTAGCATTCAAGTGTCATTTTATATTATATATTTAAATAATGTTGTAAACTAATTATATCCCAGACGTTCACTTAATGCAAATAGTCAAATAGCAAGACCATAATCTTGGATAATCGTTTACAAACTTAAAAAAATATACCCAGTGTTATAGGGGTGCAAGAATTGTAATTGCATATTATAGCGTATGTCATGGTGGGGGGGGGGGGTGTACAAATCATTTGCTATCACTGCAGTCCTGGGTTGGTGTGGCTTGTTAGCTGGTGTATATATCTGATAGCGTCTCAAATACGAACACAACACTGACGGTATTGTACGTTACTTCGCATGAAACGTAAATGATAATTAACCTCACTGCGATAACGCAAATGGTAATCAACCTCACTGTGATAACGCATGCGTTGTGAAATACGGAAAAAAGGGGCTCGAAGCTTGCGTACTGCGTACACAATATCTTAATAACTTTGGCACTCTTGAATTCCGGATATCCCATAATCTGTTTCGTAGCTTTTAGCCACGAACATTAGCCACAAACAACTTAAACAAAAGTAATAATTTGTGAACGAGTAAGAGTATTCCAATGTCAATAACTCATTTTCACAAATGATTGTCGCTGCCAAACACCCATAATATTAATAGATATGTGTAGTTTTGCAGTCATCAATCGAATTACGGTTTCCTTGTATGACAGGCCGATGAATTCTCTTTTTGTATTGCTAAAATCTTTATTTTTTAAAATTTTTCTTGTGTATTTTTAAAATTTCAATTACAATTTATTTCGACTTAATCTTATATAGAGATGCAATTCACTTAAAATTGCAGTGAAATTATTTGTTTAAAACAATAATCTAGTTAATTCATTTAGTTAAATTCAATAAACTTATTTTAATTTAACGGTTCTTTGAATGAGCATTGTGGCCATGTCACACGCAACGTAATAATACCGTAATTAGTATAGTACAGGTGTGATGGTTCAAATACCAAAATGGCAACAGTAACAAAAGACTTCCCTGGCGGCGATGATAAAATACGAACACGGAGCCAACAGATGATGTTTCAACTGGTACTGGTATCATTATACTCTGTAAACATCAAGTACAATAACGCGGTAAAACTCCACTACTCCAATAACTAGATACTTAAACTCCAATACAATTCAACGAGATCTCCGATCTGATCTCAGTGCTGAACAACTCCCCTATATATACTCACACTGTCTATAAATAGACCATTACATCAGCATACATAATGAGTCTGGAACTTACTACAAATTTCTAGAATGTTCCATAACCTTCTATTGCCCCCTACAGTGTTCTATTACCTATTCAACCAGTTTCTAAAAATTCCACCCAGACACAGTACGGTTCTAGAACATTCTCAGTCACACGGAAGTGGTAAACAAGTCGTATGCGACAGGCCAAGGGATAGGTATACAGTATAGGTATATTAGTTTAAATATATTATAATATTTAAGTATAATACGGTATATTAGTTTAAATCTTAAAGTTTACAAATGATGATTTTGTGAATGGGGGTTTATAAAAGCCACTAGAGATTTTACAAATATTAACACGTCAGTTATAAAATATAAATGTATTTTTACATACATATTTTAATGAATATTGCAAAACTCGGGATTCCATATTCAGAGATACATTGATAACATGATTTTGAACTAATTCAATCTGTGATCATTACACAAAAATAAGTGAATACTCCTAATACGAAATTGCATTTCATTGTGAGATTTACCGATATTTTTGGTGTGCCTCGACTATGCATGCGTTTTTTGAGTGGGCTTAACGTTCTTGACATTAAACAAATTTCGTACAAAATACGCTTGTACAATCGATGCGCTGATGATAATGACACATTGAGCTATTGACCAGTTTTGTATGTATGACATATTACTGGTGACAATAAACATATCCTTCTTCATTATTTGTCTGCGATATTGCTGCTGCATAATAGAGGTATCCATGTTCTCACCGATAGTGTAGAGCTTCTCTGCCAATGATTTCTGTTCAACAGGAAAGCAAAAAAAAGGTTAAATGTATGTTTGGGGACGTATGTACTATTATGAACTTCCTTAAACTAACACCAATGTATAAGTATGTACTGTGTTTCATTGTGCAGCGATGCATTGAGTTGATATAGAAACCTTTCTCCTACAGTTAGAATCGTGCCGTTTCAGAAAAAATGGGAACACAAGTGTTCAAACTAGCCCTATAAACGCGACCACACAGAACTAAAAATCCTTAGATCTGTCTGCAGCAAAACCAAAAAATGTTCCCCTTTGAGACAGAATTGTCAATATACCAAAATACTAGTAATCTCATTCTAACGAGCTGCAGTTTAACATAGTCTGAATGTCTTTTGTATGCTAATGAGAAATACGTACGTATTTCTATGTTGTTGTTTTTTTTTGTGAAGGGAGAGCTGATGACCGAAGTGCGCATTCCGTGTTCGCAATGGGGGCTCCGCCAGAGATATTCGAGAATATATTTTTCATCATTTTGTTTAACATCGACTTCACACAATAGAGGACATTTGTGTTTTTGACTGTATTCACAAAAAATGCACAGTATGCTATAATGGCGTAAATTTATTGAGTTCCCAATTCACAGCACCTTATGTAATGGATTGTTTATCGATGATTCTTTTATTCTATTAACGTTGGACACATTATCTTGGTTGTTCTAGGTTACTAGTGTTTACTATCACATTCAACCAGGCATAAAGCAAACATTGTATCTGCAAGCAATGGATAGTTATTCAAGTCCCATGGACTGCAGACAAATCACTTGTCTTCGAGTTCATGCATGAAATGTCTGTATGCGCATAACAACGCTGTTCCTGTATTGTGTTTACTATGCGCAAATTTGGTTCCAAATATGGAACGATTACGCGCGTAAGCGTCCCCTAATAATAAAAACAAACGTGGAAACAACCAGAGCTCGACCGGACCCTATATAAATAAGTTCACTCAATGTGTTCTAAATGTTGTTGTATTTCGGCGTTCTTATGATGTATCCTTATGAGAAACAGATGTATAATAATAAAGCGAGTCGATCGATACTCCCGCTGTACTGCCTTCGAGCATATTTTTGGTATCCTCGTAATAACCTCACATTGGTATCATTCGAGTTATATGTGGTCTTTGTTTGTGTTGTTGTGTATGTATGTGTGCACAGATTAATGATATGTTGTGTTCAAGTATACTTATTTTATCGTCTTAACTATGTGATGTGTAGTATTTATGATATGTCGATGCATGCTAAGTATGAGCTGTTTTCAGTAAAGGTGTAAATGGTCATGCGGTGTTCCTGTTATAGTGACTCATGTTGGGTAGCAATAGTCATATCATTTATATGATGTAATACATATTATGTACTGTGCTGTGGTAAAACTGTATTGTTATGTGGATTGTAACAAAAAACACAGCTACGATATTCGAAAGATATTCGCCTAGCTAGTAAACGATTACCATCGAACAATTTTGTAGCGTCGACAAGGACTCAATTTTTAGCATCTTCAGCAAGGCACCGACTCGCGGGATCATCTGATCGAAGATGGATAATACTATCGTTGAAGATGAATACGAATATGAATATGAATATGAGGTACAAACCGTGGAGCTGCTCATTTCTGTTACCATTTCTCCTAATTTTTGTTTTTCAATCTTTAATTTTTCACGATTCATTTCAATATTCTTTATCCACTGACCGCGTTTAAATATCATGAGAGATAGATACAATCTCTTGTGGCTGAGTACGCTGAATTCATTGTCAAAACACAATGACAACACACCTAAAACCGAATGAAAAATGCAGTTGCTATTCATTGTCTTCTTTTCATCCGGGTATTTTCACCACTTGGCAACCCTGGCGGTGAAAACAAAGGCCAAAAACGGTACTTTGGGGTGGTGGTTGAGACTCCCCTGAACAGTATAACAACATTAGCCCTACGTGTGTAACATATATAAATCTGATTGTTCAGGATTACTTCAGAGTTGAGTTTGTGTTGTTTTCTCGAATTTTCACCGGCTCGACCGGCGTTCCACAGCAGCGCGAAAAGAGCCCATAGAAAAACACGTACAGTGGTGCGCGTCTTAGCAACGTGGTACGTCTTGTGACGTAGCCCCGCCCCCGAGGATATTCTCGGGAGTTATTAAGCGTTCACTAATGAAATTTAAAACATAAACTGAAACAAAAAAAGATCTACAAAGGTATGAAGATACAATTTTTCCGGCGAGAATATAGTGGACATTTCAACAAACTTATTTCATTGTCAACCGTTTGAGTTACGGGCAACTTACGACAATTAAACTGTTAATCAAATTTCGAATTAGTAACTCAAAATTCAGTGAACAGTATATCGAGTAATCCTTTTTGAATTGCGTTTAGACAAACTATCAATTGGACAAAACTGGAATGTAGAAAAACTGACCAATATGTGTGTTTTGTTAAATATAATTAAAGCGGGGGAGACGTCGCGTGCGCATGCGTCAGATGGCCATATCGGAGCATTGTTAACAAACAGACGTCTACCCATGAGGCTTTATGTTCTTAGCGTGTGTTGTTATCATCACTCGGGACTCAATTCTTGCGCGTGCGCAGGTGAAAACCCCCTCGCTTTAAAGGTAAAACGTCATAGAATTAACTGTAACTTTATATATACTAATAGGATACTCAAACCTTCCTCGGTTGTTTTTGCTTTGAACGTTCCCTTTGGCTTTTGTTTAATCGTCTCCAACTTTTCATCGTAAATCATTACAGTGAAGTCAATGACATGAGTTTTTCTTCCCAAACCATATTGCAAAACCTGAAAAGTTAAATCGGTGCATATGTAAAAAACGTTTTTTATAATTAAAACCACATATACGAAGTCCGCGAGGAGAATTGAGTCTTCCGAAGTCACTTAACTTTATTACTAGCGCGTCTTCTGCTATTATTGTAATTATTGTAATTTTATCCTCTAACATAGTATTCGATATGATGACGCAGCATTCACAATTCATTCAAAGTGCAATGTTGCGTTGGGACTGACGTTGATACAGTTTAACACTGTCGGCATGGGTGGTCTCTTGCGATGCGCAACTTTGCCAAAATAAAAAGCAGGATCATTTGAATACAGCTATTAAAAGACTGGTAGGAGATGATACATTTGGCCTGAAAGTATTTCAAAATTCCTTTTTTGGGGTTCTTTCTATGGCAACAGTGGGCCAGAGTTTGTTTTTTATTTAATCACAGAACTCGAGGAACGGTATAACCTGCCTACCAAGTAGGATCGAAATCGGCCCAGTCAAGAAAATCACAGAATAGTTTAAAAGCCGTTCCTGGTGAAAAGTTACCCCAACTTTGACTATTAAATACTAACCTGAAGGATTTTAGTCCTAGAATTGTACATACATTTGGCTCGAAGCTATTCAAAAATCAGTTTTGTGGCTAATTAGAGTGGAGGTGTGACCTGCCTGCCAAGATTTGAGTGAAATTGGCCCAGCCAACAAAAATCACAAAAGAATTAATACGTGAAGACACTGGAAATCACAAACACATACACACACATACGTTCAAGTCGTTTCATTGATTTGACGACACACAGTGGATTAATTAACTATTAATAAAGTTACGATATGAACTCGATTAAAACGCGTTCCTATATAAGGTTGTGTTTTAATTGGAGTTTAATTAAACTAAATTCAATTCAACAAGTTTTAATTAAATAAAAGTAGAATATCTTCTGACTTAACATAGAAATGTTTGCGAAGCTTAGGTTTAGTAAAGGGGGTGGGTATGGTATATCAATTATGTTAAAATTGAACTATATCTCCCCTTTTACTAAACCTAAGCTACGCAAATTTGACTTAAATTGAATTAAATATAAATTATGTAACATGGTGAAAGTTAGTAACGGTAAATGAAAATCATCACAACGTTGATACCACTCACGCATACACACGCAAACACAAAAGTGATTTTAAGGACAATCCCAGCATAGCCTGATCGTCAAAATAACCCGGCATAGAGAATAATAGTATTTTATTTTTTAAACAAATTAGCAATTCACCGAGCGTAGAGGATAAATACATTGGTTGGTATATAAACTGTGCTCTTTCGATGATGTTATGCGGTCGATAACATTTTTTCAGTGGTCATCACTGATATGGAGAGTTCGTTCATCGCATGAGAATAAAGTGTGGTTAATTATTGCCTTCTGTTTTCAATTGGTATAAACCCTCATAAAACCATATTTAATATTTATATTTAGGGTACATAAAACAAGGATGTAATTGAATTCAAATGAAAAATTTAGAGAAAAATAATCATTGTTTCTAATGTACCATATGTGGGTTGATAGTGTCCTTGACTTACACACAAATAGGTTTTGCTGCTGAACACTATTTCCATAGACAGCATCGAAGAGCCAAACGGATATATTGCATACATACATCCACTACTAACATATTCTCATTCGTCTATTGACTATCGTCACAGGAACAGGAAGTTTGTTATTTTGCACGAGCGGGTACATGGCATGACTTGTGCGTTCGTTGCAAAACATACAATTCCAACTTTAAAGTGCGGAATGAAATCATGGCAATGTGGAAGGTTATGGCAAAAATGTTAATTTAATTCGCTGCAATATTCAATTTTAAATACGAGAATAATTTATTTGTTACAAGCATAGGCTGTAGGTATATTGTTTTCATTCACTCAACTAATATAATATGCATGACCTTTGACCGTAGTTATATTTATATCATCGTACCAGGATTTATTTATACTCGGAATCTAGTATTTTTTGTAAGAGGATTAAAATGAATATTGTTTTCTATATTTACGCAAATCATACAATACAATATTTTTTTTTCAATAATGCATCAAATGGGTGGGTTTCATCAAAACATGAACATAATTTAAATAACAAAAAATATATTGTTTAAAGTATTTTGACGTACAGTTAAATTACGTAAAAAATGGCGGATATAAGTTTTCTCATTTTTTTTTCATGTAACTCTAGAAACTATAATGCTGACAAAATACAATGATGCAGTAACAAAAATAGTCAAATGAGAATGCTTGCTGAAATCTACATTTATAACAGTGTATCAGAATTTATAACATGACCACAGCGACCCCTGGTCTCACCTCATATTCTATCATTATACTAGTCTCAGCTGGAATGTCTTGGTAAAAGCATTCTTCGCTTCTGGCTGGTATTAGAACGGTAAACGCTATGTTCTCATATGGACGACTACTGTGTGATTGAATCGGAGCACCCTCCTGCTTCACGTGGCTCTGTGCCAGTGCCCACGGCACAACTAGGGTGAGGTAGATGTAAAATACACGTATCGAACACATAACTGCAACAATATATTGGTTAGAAATGAAATCCAAATGAAAGTAATTTTTCCGAAAGTATAATCTTCTCGCAGCAATCAAATAAGGGGGTGGGTTCAAAAATAAAATATGTATGGCAGCAACCATTATAATGATAGGGGTGAACATGTACAACATTGCTGGCGTTTTTGAAAATGCTGTTTTAGAACAATCAAATGTTTGACCGGATACATTTTTTTCCATAAAGTAGCGATCGAAAATTAATGATAGCATAATGCTGAATAAGGGCTGGGATTTTTTCCAATTCACAATTGTATGAGTTTGTCATCTAATTACTTTGAATAATGCTTATATCGTCAAAAAACAAGGGATGCATGCCCGTATTGTTTGGCATGCATGTTTGGAATTCTCTTGTCCTGTAAATTTATGAACTTGAGTTTAATCAGTTATCCCGCACATAAAGAAATGAATGGAGGCCGCTGCAAATATCAATGTAGTACACAACTGCCGACGCTGGCTTTATTAATTACTTTTTCCACACGCTTCGTAACGGAGTATCATTATCATCATACCTTTGTTTAGGATAACTTTTGGTTTCTTTCATTCCTCAGAAAATCAAAAACGACATTGGGTACATGTTGATTTGGCTTCTTTAACGAATGCTACATGTCTACGCACTCCCTATAGTATAATTCAATCATGAATGAGCGTGCGCACGACAGTTACCAGTTACTTGATCACGCAACATACATTAATGTTCACCATCGTTTACGAAAGGTATCTCAAAACATCTGCAAAGAAGTAACACACTAATTTGATGTTCAATATTTGTTTCATATTGTATTTATTGTATTAATCGATTGAATGATTATTTATTATTAGAGGCTTAGGGGAGCTCGTTTAAATTAGAAGCAAATTCGCACAGGTGCTGGGTAATTATCATATTGGATTTCAACACTGGAGCGCCAATAGAATAAGAACTATAAAGAAAATGAATCTAATGGTTCACAGTGAATTAGCCTGTTTAGTCATCCAACTTACTAACTCGAACATTGATAACAATACTGTGCATGTATAATTCTATCGGATATTAAACTTGTGACAGGTACATGGTATGCACACTCGCAAAATATTAAAATCGATATTTGTTTTCCCAATACTTATGCTGCATACAGTCGATAATAAATGTGTGTTTGTTTCCTGAAGTGCCTCAAAATAAAAAGTGCTTTATTTACTCTCATGAACTTTTGTACATGTCACATACGCAAACATTTATAAACATTTATAGTCTGGTGAAGTACTTTGAAACATTGCATGTGTATTTGTTTTAGGAAGTTCATGATAAAAACAATTTGTAGGTGTTTTAGTGTTTTACTCTTATGAACACAAATGTGTCGTATACATCAACACTTTGCGAAACATTTATAGTCTGGTGTTTTGGGTTGAAACATCGTTGGTGATTTTGCTTGACACACCATTATTTTCTGGAGGTAATGTCATGACTCATCTCATTATGCGTCGAAATACGTCACTTTCGGTGATTGTCTAGTTGCCATATATACCATACTGTTTACTCACGAGTCTTCAGACTTTTCACTCAATTTTGTTAATACTGCTTGCATTAAGTTGGATGTATTATTCTATACATGTTCTATCAATAAAGACTTCAATGACACGTTAATATCCCCGTGTTTTCAATTAAAACGTCGCGTTTTAATTAAAAACATGAAAATGCTTCCAAGATTTACTGTGTATGCAAGCTGTGTGTGTTACAAACATCTTGGATATTGTCATTACATTTTTTTGAAAGTATCACCTTTAGATAGCAAAATAAAAAAATGTACATGTGTATGTAAATTGTTGGAGGCCACTGATGGGTTTGTATCTGAGCAGGATGAAGTACGCAATCTGCTGATGAAATTTCTAAGCTCCTTTAAGTTGAGTCACGCAGAGAAATGTTACTGAGGCTGAAAAAAACGGTGACGTGACGTAGCACACTCGCAAAACATGATTCATAAACCCGATTGGAGTTGTGGTTTAATATATATATATATATTATGAAATAACTCTTCATAATATATGCTACTCAAAACAATTTAAGGAACACTTGAATATTCTCAGTTACAGCAAGACCCTTTATTTCAGATAAACCCATTTGGTCATATAATTGACGTGAAACATCTGCACAATGAAACAGATGATAAGGAATGCATGTACTCATTATACATTTTGTTACATGAGTTCTGTTAGAGAGAAGAGTCGAAAATGAAAATCCCAGTTCATGGAACATTTTAATAATGGATGTGACCACATATTGTAGTAACACATGCAACACAACGTCGCCTCATGGATGTCACTAGTCTCTGCAGTGAACGTTGTGGTATCGCTTGCAACTCCTGGATCAATTAGTGACAACACGTGCGCGGTGTGGCCAGGCATTATCATCCTGTAGGACTACCGCACCTCTTATCCTCTGTAGAGAAGGTAACACAATAGGTCTCAGGATCTCATCGCTGTAACGTAATCCAATTAACATGGAGAGGGGTCATTTGGTGATTGCTAAAGCCAATCCATATCATGATGCTGCCATCACCAAACTGGTTGTTCTGACTGATGGTGGCATCAGTGAAGCATTCACAAGGGCGTATAGAAGAATACGACCATCATTGTTCTGTAAAGTGAATCTTGACTCATCTGTGAAGACGACAGAAAACCACTGCCGACGTGTCCAACGAATGTGCTGTCGAGCCCAGTCTAAACGAGCAGTTCTGTGGCGTGGGAGAAGGACTGTCCTAACATCCTGGCGCCTAGGCCTGACATTTCTGGCCCTCAGACGGTTCCGCACAGTCTGGTCACTCACGTTTGTATGAGTTGCTCCTCTGGATGCATTGTGTACAGAGGAAACACTCAACATTTTTCGAAGCATAGGAAAGAGTAGGTGTGTGATAACCAATGTTCCATCTTTTCACCTGATGGTTCAACTGCACGGAAAATATATACATTTTAAAATTAGTTTATCTAACATATACATGCAGTATTAATTAGTATATTGTCACATTTCTTTACCACTTAAATAGATTATTCTAAAATGTGACAGACATAAAACACAAGATTCGAACACATCAAATTCTCTCGACACCGTCAGCAGATGCGCACTTTAATATGTCATTCTAATTGATGAGTTTCGAGGTATAGCGCCATCAGTCGATTTCCAGCTCGCGCAAATTATTTGCTGGTTTCTAACGTTTCTAATGTTAACTATTAAATGTTCACGCAGCACACCATCAGAGCGCACACGTTTCTAATGTAATGACGGAAATTGAAACTTTGTTTGAAATGCAAGCCGTATCTGGTATTAGAGACAACTACATGCATGTAAATCTACGTGTTCACGGTTAGTATAACATTACAAATGACAAAGCGCCCCCCTCCCCCTCATATTAATGTGCACTCGTACAGTGGCTTATTCATTACATTTACCGTGTTACACATCAACATTCAAAGAACGTTCATTGCAACGAGGTTTTCCTGAAAGTTTGGAATCATCTACACAGCAATTGAAAAAGATAAACCTGTACAGACAAACTAATATTTCAAAGTCTGGACAACTCCATTATCTATGTCCAATTCAAACTACAAATGATGTCATAAAAGGCTGTCGCCATTTATATGTACATCATATTACCAATCATCCAAATAAAATGAAAGAACATTCTCTCTCACAATCTGATGTTGTTGCTGTTTTCAAATCCGTTTTTTAGGGATCATGAAGAGTCCGGCCGACCGTTCGTGGACGACTTCTCCTCCAACACCACTGGATCTTTAACTCTAATGTTTGGTATGAAGATTCCCTATTTGTTGAAGATGCTAAAAAAAGTTCAATGTAACA